TAGTCTCTTGTCCATCCTACACGGGAGCACCGTGTTCTCAGCCCCTCTGCAGATGAAGAGACCGAGGCAGGAGGAGTACGAGGCTGACTCAAGGCCACACAGCAGGCAGAAGGCAGCGTCTGTGAAGGCCTGAGGCCTCAGGCGTGAATCCGGCCAAGGAGCTGTGGATGGGGGTGGGCAGGCAGGAGGGGCCTGCCGGCTTTACTCTCGGAGGTACGGTGGCCGGGGGCATCCCTGTGGTCTGTTGTCAGCTGATCCCTTGGCTGCAGAGACAGTGACCGATGAAACATGACATGGCAGAGCTGAGGAGCACCAGGCAGCAAACACACCCAGTGCCACATGCCCTTTGGCAGCCCCAGGCAAGGAGGGCCATGCAGATTCATGCCCACTTTGCCCCTTGTTCCAGCACCTAGTAGACTGTCTCACCGTGAATCCAGGTGGCTTTACAGCCACGAGGGTGTTCTTCTAGCATGTTTCTAGAAAGGCTGTGTTTTTTGTTTTGTTTAGAGAGATTCTTTGTATGGGTCATGTGTGCTGGCCAGAGAGACAGAGGGACAGAAAGTGAGAAATCACCCCCCCCGGGGGGGGATGGGCCACACGGCAATCCCTTCTCCTCTCTTCTCTTCTTGGGATTTTAGGCACGCATGCGCACATGCCCAGTGTGAGCTTTAAGCTGCCAGGTCCAGGACTCAAACCACAGTCGACTACATGGAAGTCCAGCAACGTAACCATTATGCCATCTGCTGGTCCCAGAAAATCTGTTTTTAAAGTCTCTAAGTATGTGCCAGGCACTATTCTGAGCCCTTTAGCAGGAATCATCCCCACTCACAGAAGAGAAAATTTAGGCACAGAAAAATTGAGCGACTTGTCCAAGGGTAAGGGGACCTGCAGACAGTACAGCCCCGCCCTTGAGGGTGGCGAGGACCACGGGCCATGGAAGAAGACACCAGGGGGCTCCCGCTCCAGCGCCTACAGGGAATGAAGTGGCCCAGGGCAAGATGGGGGATGTGGGCCGAGAGAACAGCTCCCAGGGCCTGTCAGCGTGAGCCTAACCAGGGGAGGGACTGAGGCCCAGAGAGGAGACTTGTCCGAGGTAACATAGCTACTGAGAGGCCAGGAGGCCAGGAGAGATCCGAGTCTTCCCTCTCTGCGCTCTGGATCCCCAGCAGAACAGAGACCCACACTCAGGTAGGAACAGGGAGAAGCTATTATTAACAGATTTGAAGCCCTGAGGCAGGGGGAAGGCTTCTGGCTGGAGGAGTCAGGAGTTAGGGTGGACTGAGATGGGATAAGGCTGCCCCTACAGGTCTACGCAAGAGTGCAGTCTCCCCCGCGAGGGGCCAGGCCCTACCCTGAGACTTCAGTGCACTGTGAACTGCTGGTCGGCCTTCCAGGCGCTGTGCCCTCGCTCAGGAATTCCCAGAAGGACGAGCAGAGAGAAGTTACCTTTCCCCAGGTCTCCCTCACCAGCGCCCTCTTCTGGCTACCCTCAGCGGCGCAGGGAGACCAGTGGATTGGAAAGATTGGAGGGCTGGGGAGGAGTTGGCTGAAAGCACAGTGCAAGGCCTGGACGGGCAGGACTGCCCAGGCACCCTGTCACGTCTGTGAAAAGCCACAGGGTGTGTGTACCCCCTGGCTATCCAGCACTGTCCAAAATCACCCGGGAAAATGAAGCCACGACAGGCAAGACTGCCTCAGGGCAACCGGCAAGGCGAGACTGAAACTGAGCATGCTCAGACCCATGCCCCCCTCACCTCTGGGCTCGCGGGGCCCAGAACGGCATGGACCTGCTGAAGGTGCTCAGTGCATCTCCAAGCAGAGGGCCTGCTCGCACCAGTGCAGAGGCAGGATCTGGAGAGTGATGGAACTTAATCCACCCCCTAGCCTGCACCCACTTCCCCAGCCCCAGGGGTCCTGGCTGGGGCCAGGGTACTATTCCAACAGTGCTCCCCAGCCACAAGTCGGTCCTGAGGAACTGGGATACCCCGGGCAGGGCATGTGACCTGCTGCGAGCCCCCCTGGGTACCCAGGAACTGGCTCACTTGCCCATTTTCCTAACTCAGGCCTCGGGGGTACAGCGGCCCCTCCCATCTATGAGGGAACCTTCCCAGACCCCAGTGCATGTCTGAAACCTCGCACAGTACCAAAAGCTAACCCTCGTCTTTTCCCTGTCTGCGTAGCCGTGACAAAGTGCAGCCTATAACGTGGGTGCCGTCAGAGACTGGCCACAGTAACCGGTAGTAAACCCGGGCAGCCACACTGTGCGGGCCTCGCCGCTCTCGCTCTCTGGGGCCGACGTTAAGGCCCCGGGGACTTGAACACAAGCCCTGCAGGAGCTCAGAGTGGACCTGATAAGCCAGCCGGCTGCCCAGTGCCTCCTGGGTGTGTGGTGTACAGGACACTGGGACAAAGGACAACTCCTGCCCTGGGCAGGGTGGACGGACACGCACGTTTCAGCCCTGACTCAGAATGACGTAAAGTGTGTATTTCTACAACTTTCCATTTGATACTTTGGGGCCTCTGTTGGCCAGAGGGAAAATGGAAGAGCGCCCAGATAAGGGGGGACTACACACAATAGGGGGGGTCCTGAGACAGGACTCTCCCAGAACGGTCCCCCAAGCTTGGTCCGCTCTTC